TCACACGATTAAATACAATGCAGCCCACAGGAGCAATGATTTTCTAAATTACTACCTTACTTGGCAGGGATTAGAGAGCAATATGCTAAGCGAGCTATCAGTCCCATAAAGACAAATATTGTGTAATACCATTATTGTAGAATGAGTACAAGGATCCAAGTGGGGGAGGGTGGAAGCAGAAAGGTAAGGATGGGGAGAGGTGTTAATCACAGGGTTGCACAATTTGATGAGTGTGTGTGGGGGGTAAAGTGAATGGGAAAGATCTGGTATGAGAAACAATGTATTCAAACTTTGTAAATAAACCAGTATAAAGTAAAAAAAAAATCAGATAGTACATAAAATTCTTAATAAAAAGGTCATAATTTTATTTTCAGTGAAAATATCTTCTTGTTGTTGTTATGTGCCATCGAGTCATTTGCAACTCATAGCGACAAGAGCCCTAAACACAGTTCTATCCTGTGCCAATCTTGCTGTCTCAAACACACTCATTCCCACCACTCCACTCACAGATTGATCCATCTCATTGAGGGTCTTCCTCTCCTGCGCCGTCCCTCCACTCTCCCAAACATGATGTCCCTCTCCAAGGACCAGTCGCTCCTTGCAACATGCCCAGAGTATATCAGATGAAGCTTCAGAATCCTTGATTCCAGGGAACATTCTGGCTTCACCCTCTTCAGGACAAACCTGTTTGTTCTCCTAGCAGACCATGGTATATTCAACACTCTTCTCCAGCACCACAGCTCAAAGGCATCAATTCTATCAACCCTATTCACTGTCCAACTCTCTGATGCATAGCACGTAATTGCAAAGACTATAGCCTGGATCAGGTGCACCTTAGTCTCAATCCTGACGACGTTGTACTTCAGTACTCTTGAGAGGTCCGTCACAGCCGACTTTCCCAATGCAGTTTGTCTCCTGATTTCCTGGCTGCAGTTACCAAGAGTGTTGACTATGGAGCCAAGCAAACTAAAACTGCTAACTATCTTAATCTCTTCACCATCCATATTGATGCTGCTAATTGGCCCAGTAGTGAGAATCTTACCCACTAATAAATATTCATTTAATGTATATCCTCCCAATATCATGCTTAATGAATTGAAAAGACTGTTACCAATGGATCAAACATAATACATTTTAAATTTTGACATATTTTGTCATTTTAAAATTTTACATTTAAAATTTGTCATTTAAAAATTTTACATGTTGTTGTTGATTGCCATCAAGGATGACTCATAGCAACTCTATGAACAAAAGACCTAATGTCTTTCCATAGCTATCATTGTTTCTCTAAGTTCATAGAGTTTTCAGAGGCATGTGGTTTAGGAAGTGGATGCCACTCTTGCTTCCAAACCTATTTTACTACTGGGAGCTCCACCAAACACTGTCCACATTGGGAAACCATTCTGGTATTTGATACCCCAGTGGCACAAGGTTCAGTATCACAGCAAACCCAGGCTACTTCATACAGCACATTGACAATGAGTGATGTGCAAAGTGAAAGAATATTTCTCCAGATGTAACAACACTAGTCTCATTTAGCAGTAGTTAAATGTTGTCAAGTCAAATACAACTCAGAGTAAGCTTTGCACAAAAGACCTGAACTCCGTTCTATAATTAATATCATTTCTGTACATTTATAGAGATTAGAGAGTGTGTGGAGTTTCCAGAGGCATCTAATTTAGAAGTGGATGCCACTCCTGCTTCCCAACATGAATTGATCTGGAAGCTCAGCCAAACATTGTACACAATGGGTAACCATTATCGTATTTGACATGACTATGAAACAGTGTTCAGCATCATAGCAACTCCAAGTTGTTCAGTACAGCAAATAGACAAATGATTGCTCTGTCTCTTAAAGAATATTCATTCTAAAATCATCAACAACAACAAAAAGAAATAGTAACACACAACAAACATGAGCTCAGAAACCTTCCTTGTGTGACTGCTATGAAGATGAGACCACCATCCAGATGCTGGCTAACAGCCAACTCCTAGAGGGGAGGGAGACTTCAAGGCCGCAGACCCCAGGCTAGCCCACAGACCCATAGCCTAATTATGGATTTTAAAGCCACACCCTCTAGCAGGCCTCCACCCTTAGTCTAAGGTTAAAGGGCCACCCACTTTTGGGGGGTGGAGTGGGGGAAGAACAGTAACACACAACAAACACGACTCCAGAAACTTCCCTTATGTGACTACCACCAAGAGGAGACCGCCATTGAGATGCTAGCTAGCATGCCAACTCCTAGAGTAGAGGGAGACTCCAAGGCCCCAGGCTCCAGGCTGGCCCACAGACCCATCATCTCATTATGGATTTTAAGACATGATGTACCCACTTGATTCTGTCATATCCTCCAAATAAGAGGATTTCTTTCCCTACATGGAAATGGATATTTTCTTTGTAAATTCTGTCAATCTCAAATGTGGCTATTTAACTTGTATTTTTAAAGCGTAACTGAAATAAGTCTACAACATTAGGTTTGTAAATCAGTTTTAAGAAAATACACAACACAGTTGGATCTGCCTTGGTAACAGTGAGGGGAAAGAGAATCTTGCAAGTTTTAGTTGACTGCTTTCAAGACTAAGGTTTGCATGAGCCACACCAGGGTATTTTAACTTGTATCATATGCTTGTGAAACTTATACAACAAATAAGGAAGACTGAAGAAGAAGTATGTCTTTGAACATAACAAAGAATATAGAAAATACCATAGACTGCCAGAAGGAAAAAACAAATCTGTCTTAGAGGAAGTGCTTCCAGGGCACTCCTTAGAAGCAAAGATGGTGTGATTTTGTCTCGCATACTTGGAGTACGTTCTCAGAAAGAGGCTGGCAAAGGGACACCAGCTTGGGAAAGTAGAGAAGTCAGCAGAGGAAAAGACCATCAACGGGATAGACTGATATAGTGACTACAGCAGTGGGCTGCCTTAAGCACGGCCGAGATTTTGAGGATAACACAGAAATGACAGGGTTTGTTTCTGTTGTATATAGGATCACTATGAGTCATAGCCAACTTGACAGCACCCAACAATGCCAAATTAATTCATGGGAGTCAGCAATCTGCTCTCACTGCTACAGAGACGAGTGCAGTGATGCCAAGAAAGGCAGTGTTCTCAGTGATATCTAGTCTCTATTTCTATTTCTTCACAACATTGATAAAGTAGAAAGGAAGCCATCACACTTTGTCAACTGAAGACCGTCACATTTGGAGAGAGACCTGGAGGCTGAGCAACGTAAGGAATAGTTGAGGCAATAGTGTATACTTAACCATGAGAAGGACGCCTAGTAGGTGTTCATAGTTTTGTTGGGTTTTTTAAAAAATAGATTTAACTGGGGTTAGTTCTAGGAGTTATTTGCATTGTTTTGTGCTTAAAAAAACCCTTAAGGCAGATTTTGGTTCTGTGTTGAGACAGATGTGTTTCTGAACAATTAGAGCTGGTCACAGATAGACAGTATCGCCTTACAGAGCACTGGGTGCCTGGCAGTGAGCAGATTGAGGCAAATGTTAAGTAGAAGCTTTCTATCAGAGATGTTGTGAGGGAAGATATTTTAAAAAACATTTTTATGAAATATTTTAAAATAAAAAGTAGTAAACTGTTTAGACAATTTAACATTTTTGTATTTGTTGCATTTTCTTATCTTCATGTTTTTTTGTTTAAAACAGTACAGATGAAGGGTTTACCCCAGCCCCATCCATCTCTCCTTCCTTCCTGCTGAGGTGGGCATGATGTCTTCTTGTCCATATTTTTTTATATATTTCACCATTTATGTATGTGTAACTACATTAATCCTTATTTTGAGTTGTATATTTTTCTTTTTTTCAAAACTCCTTTTTTATATTTTATATTTTTAAGATGTATCTTTGTTAATACAAGTAGATCTGGTCATTACCTTTTTTTTATATACCGATATAGAATTTTTCATTCCTTTATAAAAGAATTTTAGGCTATTTTTATTGCTGGGGCAATCATTCCTACATTGAATGTCTTCACATAAGGTGAGAAAAATATTTATCCTTTAGGTTAGACATTAAACTACATGGCCGATGATTCTTCTGACTCTAGGATCCAAACTGGAACTGACTAATAACTTACCCTTCAGTGGGTTTTCAGAGGCAAAAAAATCTCATGAGAGGAGATTGTCCGTATTTCTCCCACAGAGCAGCTGGTGGACACGAATCATATGCCTTCAGGATGGCAGTGTATCTCCTCACCACTAAGCCGTCACAGCTCTATTTACTTCTGTTTAAGCAACATTTCCTGTTGTCAGAGGATAAAAAGAAAAGCCATGACCCTTGCTGAAAGAACTGATTGACTTAGACTCTGGCCGTTAAATTACTTAACTGTTTTCAGTTTCCATAAAGTTTGGCCAGGTTAGGATATGATCTGGGACTGATATTTTCAACTTAATGTCTCAATGTTAATAGTTTTGTTAATTTGTGTCTTCAGAGAAGCATTTGAGAGGAGCTCCATTGACATTAAAGTGTATAATATGTGGGCTGCTAACTGAAAGATAAATACTTGAAATTGCCATATTTATTTTCCAGAGTGCTTTGGCCTTGTGTGATTTTTATAAGAGAAACTCATTGCCATCTAGATAGAAACAACTGACTCATAGTTGATCCTTCACTGGGTTTCCTAGATTGTAAATCACATGGAAGGAAGCCGCTGGTGGATTCAAACCATCAGACAGGGGAGCCACTAGAACTCCCTTGTAGTATTGCTCTTGTGTGCCACTGAGGCAGAACTGACTCATAGCTAACCCTCCAGTGGGTTGTCATAGGCAGTAAATTGCATGGGAGGAGATTACTGGAGCAACTGGTGGATTTGAACTGTGTGGCTTTGGGATTGCAATGCAGCTGCTTACCATGAGGCCCTTTCTGCTGAATGAATGGAAATCCAAAATCTCTGTAAATGCTCATTAAAATTATTAAATAAATAAATAAATGTCACTTGTGGTGTATCTCTGTATGTACTTTTGTGTGTATGTGTATTGTGTTTTTAGGAAAAAGGCTCAGCTCAAGAAAAAAAGAGGTGTGCCCCAGATTAATGAACAAATGCTTTTTCATGGTACCAGCAGTGAATTTGTGGAAGCAATTTGCATTCATAACTTTGATTGGCGAATAAACGGTATACATGGTGCTCTCTTTGGAAAAGGTAATTATTAGAATTCCTGTTCTTTGAGTTCTCAGAGAGACTCTCCTCTTTTTAGGAATCATAGATTGTTTTGTAATGAATAGATTAGTGGTCATTAAATGAAAATTATAGGTTCTTGGCACAATCTCAAGAATTTTTAAGTCATAAAAGGCCATTTCTTGCAAGTACAAAATGGAAGTAGGACTTTGTCCTCTATTACATTGATTAGTTCTCCTGGTCCCAAGCATCCAGATGTGATGTCATGCCTATAGTAATGATTTTTTTTCCATTACATTTTATTCAATATCTTTTCTGTGCACAAGCCTATACACCAAACTGTTTTATGGCAAATATATTGAAAGAAAGAGAAAAATCAAACTGATTACATTGCACACAAGTATTAGTGCTAGATTTTAAAATTTTCTTTTTTTGGAACATTAAAGGTAAGAATATTAATAAGCAATAAAGGAAAACAAGGGGAAAGCCTTACCTTATCTAGTAATAATTGTGATAGTCCAAGTTTTCCAATTTATGCCCAGTACTCAAGCAAATTTAGAAAAGATGTGAAGAGAAAAACATGTGAGTGGACATTTATTGCTCTAGTCCTTACCTTACAGCCTGCAAAAGAATTGGCAGCCACTGAGGACCCAGACCTGCTGCCTTACAGAAATGTAAATAGTTTTAAATAACTATTGAGAAGGCCATCCCACCTATTTAGCTATAAGAAGATCAGAGAAATGTTATGTAAATCCAGGCAGTATTGGTGTGAATATTCTCTTGATGATGTCAGTCTCTGAGGGCTCCCAGTTAGGAAGAGCCAGGTGCTTTATTGAGTTTTCATATTTGGGCAATGAAGCAGTGAAATTGTGCTTTTGGAATTCCCAGATAGGAATAGTATTATGTTCTTTCAGAAATCTTTTCCTGGATATGGAGTTCTATGATTTCCAGAATTAATATTAGCTCACCCATACTATAGAAATACTGATTTATGGGTCAGATCAGTAGTTTTTAAATTGTGCTCCCCAGAGCCTTGGTGGATGCAGGAAACTAGTAGTGGATGGGAGATGGTGGTAGTAGGAAATAGAAAGGAGGGCTAGGTTCAGGCATTTAGAAATAAGGTCATGTATCCTTTTTATTATAGAAACCATGTTTCTATGTTCCACATATTGGGCTCTTCTTAAGATTTCAGTCCTGGTAACTACATTTGGAGGCCAAGAGCTGCACTACACCAACAAATCTATCCCTGTGGGAGGCTGTACCACAGCTGTCCTTACCAGATGGATTTCTTTTCTTTCCTTAAAAGATCTACAGATGAGAAAATTCCACATCTATGTTTGTTATACAATTCCTTGTGTCTGTCCCCCGACAGTAATTGTGTTTCTGCTTGTGTTTATTGCTTTCCTCAGGAGTAATTTTGGCTCTCTCTGATCCTTTTGTTTTAGGAACCTATTTTGCACGAGATGCTTCTTACTCCAGTCGCTTCTGCAAAGATGACATAAAGCATGGGAACACATTCCAAATTCATGGTGTCAGCGTGCAACAGCGGCATCTCTGTAGAACATATAAATCTATGTTTCTGGCTCGAGTGCTAATTGGAGATTACATAAACGGAGACTCTAAGTACATGCGCCCTCCTTCCAGAGATGGGAGTTATGTGAATTTATTTGACAGCTGTGTGGATGACACTTGGAATCCAAAGATCTTTGTGGTTTTTGATGCCAACCAAATCTATCCTGAATACTTAATAGACTTCCATTGATTCCACTAGCAGACCTCATTGGTCAGGAAGTGTCACTCTTTCTTGCAGGAAGGTTTGCTCTCCTGTCATCTAGCCACTAAACATTAAAGATCTGATACTTTTGAAACAGATTTGAAAAACCAGTGGCCTCCATATAAAAAGACATATTGAGATTTTTTTTTTGTTGGTGTTTTTGTTTTGTCTGTGACTTACAGTCTTGTTTTTAAAATATTGACACCATTGCCATTTTAAGATACAGGAGTAGAAGGTACCATTCACAGTTGAATCAGCTGTCCTTCAAGAAACACAGGCATTCAGAGCTTTACAATTGATGTGTGTGCTAATAGAACAAAGGTTTTCAGTTCAAATTCATCTACCAGATAAAAATCTTTTTTTTTAAAAAAAAAAGATGGGCAAGAGTGTGTCACTTTAGAAGAATTCATCCTTTGTAAGTTGAATTTTGATAATATTTACTGATCAGCATGTCCCTTTGTTGGTCTTCTGAAGGTGAGGAAGTAGAACATTCAAAATCCAAACAGAAACAAAATGTAAGTCAACAGTGCCTCCAGACATGTCAGAAGGAAGAAATCAAGGTCAAGCGCCCTGCTGCTGGCTGCCTCGGAACTCAGGCTGCAAATTCAGACCTGCTCCCATTATTCTGCTCTTTCTCCTGCAATGGAATTGACGAGTGCTGCCTACAAAATGCCTGCATTTCCTCCACCAAGTCTCTTGAGTTTTCTGCACCAAATACAAGGTGTTCATTGGAATTTGAAAAGTGAAACTTTAATTATTTGAAATATTTCTTTCCCTTTCTGTTGAGGTCCCTATAATTATCACATATAAGATATTCATATTACCCACCCTGTCTAGCTGTCAACACTCATTTCTAAATGTTCTAAGAGTTATCTCTCTGCAACATGAATCATTGCAAAAGCCATAAGACACTTGAGACTAACATGATTTAATCTTTTTAGTGGCAATCTACTGCCTTTTTTGAAAATTAAAATACAATCCATAACGACATTTAAGGAGAATGGGTTCAAAAAGCTTTCCTTGCTGTAGAGATATTCCAGAAGAGGCTGGACAAGAGCTTGATAGAAGTGTTGTTTGGGAATTAAAATATGAAATGACAGCTTTACCATATGATTAAGAGCCTTTCAATCTAAATTTGTCATAATTCTGCCTAAAGGAGACCATTTGAATGAATCTGTTCTAGAAAACTTTTTCTTAGTCAGTCTATCCCTAAATTCTCTCCATCCTCCATAGTCAGTTTTGGTTGATATTTAATGAACTTAATTAAGTTTCCCAGGAAAAATCCCATAAATATCCACTGTTCATGTCTGTGTTATCCAGTTTGTTTCATTTGGGAAGGCATCTACACCTAAATAAAGAGTATGGAGCAAGATTTGGGATGACATTTCTTTAGCTGTTTATTTCCCCAGATTTTTGTTACAGTTTAGGATACCTGTAAATATGCTGTTTAAAGTAAACCCCAAAACTTACTCCTGTTGAGTTGATTCTGGCTCTCATTGGTCCTCCATCGTGTCTCCAAGTCTGTAAATCTTTATGGGAGAAGACTGCCCATCTTTCCCCTTGGAGTGACTGGCAGACTCAAACAGCCAACGTTCTGATCTGTTGGGCATTATTTACCCAGTTTCCTAGAGTAAGTGGTACACTGGACACTGCATCCAATATTTGGGGGAAAAAAGTCACAAAGCTCCTGAGTCAGATGTGCAGACTTTTTAGATAAAGTGTGGTGAATACTCAGAAAGACTTACTTTGAAAATGTTTCATGATCACTGTGGAATTAAGTGGAGGAGGAGTCTGCAGGCTGTCTTGAGAGAGTTTATATAAGTTTACTCTCAACTTTCCAAAGGCACGTGGTTCGAGGTCACCAGCTGCTCTGGGAGAAGGATGGCAGTCTCCTGTGGGATTAACTGCCTCTGAAAACCTGCCGGTTGGTTCCAACTCTATGGTACAACAACCACAACTCTAGACCTACCTACAAAACAATGCTAGAAATATTAGGAATTCAAATTTTAAAGTTGTTTTTGTTTTATTTGTTACTTCAAAAAATGTCAAGACTGTCTCCTCGTTGACTGTTTTCCCCAGTTTAGCATGAACACTTCTCTCACAAATTTAATTGAATAACCATTGTGGTATTTGGGGATATAATTCTTCTAGACATCTTATTCCAAGGAGGCTGAGAACCCAGAGCTAGGAATTGGCAAGGACAGTTTTGTGAAGTCTGAATTTAGTTATATGGCTTATATGTAGTAAAATGTTAACATGTGCTACAATAGCCATTGTAAGAATGTACTTGTACATTGTAAGAATATGCTGTTGTTTTGTCTGAAATGTACTACCCCTTCTCCTTTTATAAAATACAGAGCTGATTTTGATGTTGTTGTTGTTGTTAAGTGCCATTGAGTTGTAGAAAACTCATAGTGACCCTATGAATGAAAGACCTGAACACTTGTATAACTTTCATCATTTCTCTAAGTTCATAGAGTTTCCTGAGGCAAGCTCTTTCTGAAGTGGATGCCCTCCTGCTTCCAAGCTTGTTTTAATCTGGAGCTCCACCAAACACTGTCCACCATGGGTAACCATTATTTGACACATCAGTGTCACTGATTTTTATACCTTCTTTAAATGTTCTAGTATAGGATCAGTTCATGTTTAAATGCCATTTCTTGCTCTTGGTCAGTAGATTGAGTTGGGAAACATAATAATTAGATGGTGAGACTGGACACACCAGCCTTCACTTCCTCTTGTCGGCACATAGTGTGTAGGAGGAATGAAGTCATTCCAGATGAAGGAATAAATTATTTTAAAAATCCTACCTTGCATAATTTCCACCTGGTAGTGACTTTTGGTTTTGTATTTTGTTGATAATCAGCCTCAGGGTTTAAAAAAAAAAAAACAAAAACATTTCATTAAAAACAAACCTTTCATAAGTCCTTTGGTTTTGAACAGAAAATTTTTGTATTAGTGCAATACTTAATTTTCAGATTGTGGATAGTGATGCTGTTAAAGATTTTTGAGCATTTTGATATTGGAATATAATGTTTTTACATGTGGTAATTAAAGCTTTCCCTAGCTGGTCTTGGTTGTCTGTATACCATGCATTTGTTTCTCAGGCTTTTGGGTCCCATCTCCTACTTTGATTATATAAGCGTTGATTTTCAGCTGAAACCAAGTTGTAATAGACTGTCAAGGAATTTGTTGCTTCCACATGTTATGTCAGCCCCTTGTTCTTAGTATGACTCATCATGAGCAATAGCCAATCAGATAAGCTGTTGGAGGAGAATCATTCACTCTGGGTTACTGAAAATTGGAAAACGGATGAAGTCCTGGTGCATATCCTTCCTTTTGGTGTGCTCTCCTGACTTGGAGAAGCAGGTCAGGAGAGGGTGTCTGCATCACCAAGAGAAGCAGGAGACTTCCTTAAATCCATCCAACCTCCACTGCACAAGTATGTCAGCGGTCATTGCTTTTAAAGCTATTTCAAAAATTAGTGCCTCTCTAAGCTTCTTATACAGAAAGCTTAAATTGGCAAAAAAGGTAAAGTATCAATGAGTTTTCTCATTTTAAGCCTGGTGAAAATTAAGAAGAAAGATGGGTCCATAAAAGGGAGTAGTTTACTTTTTTCACTTATTAAAATCATGCCAGAGAGCTCTGGTTGTGCAATTGTAAAGCCTATAGTTTCTGATAGTTTGAATAGAGACAACTATGTCCCCATTCTGTCTTGCTGGACTGATTTTTAAGACTTAACTGGCATAAAAAGTCACTTGAGCTTTGACTGGTGATGGAAAAGTGTGATAACTTCACAAAATTTGACCGTAGGTATCGGTCTGTGACCATAGTGTCAGCTTAAGTAAGGGTGGTGGTATCAGACCTACTCTAATTTACCAGGGGAGACTTACCCCATCAACAGCAACTCAAGACCTATTCCTATGAGGAATAGGTCTCACTGTTCCTATAAAATGCCCCTCACTCCAAACATTTTCTTCCAATTCTGACACTGACCCTTCCTCTCATTGCATTCTGTGTTTGTCTGCTGGGTTCTGTAATTAGTTGCTGTGCCACTAAGAACCTACAGACAATTCTCAGCACTATGGAGCTTATTTGGGAAGTAATTCAGGAGCAGGAAAAACTCAGGATACAATTCTTTAATGAGGACAGTCTTCTCAGTCATCCTTGAAGGAAAGCCTCTGTAGCCCTCAGCCTCTTTGCCTTGGCTTCTGCACCATTACTTTGTATATTGTTGTTGTTGTTGTTGTTATGTGCCGTCAAGTCGTTTGCGACTCATAGCGACCCTATGTACAACAGCCCTAAACCCCGCTCTATCCTGTGCTAATCGCACTGCTTCTGACACACCCATCCCGATTACCCCAGTCACTGAATCAATCCACCTCATAGAGGGTCTTCCCCTCCTGCGCTGTCCTTCTACCCTACCAAGCATGATGTCCCTCTCTAAGGACCTGTGTCTTCTTACAACATGTCCAAAGTATGTCAGACGAAGCCCCAGAATCCTTGCCTCCAAGGAGCAGCCTGGTTTAACCCTCTCTATGATGAATCTGTTTGTTTTCTTAACAGTCCATGGTACATTCAATACTCTTCTCCAGCACCACAGCTCAAAGGCATCAATTCTCCTTCTATCCTCCCTAGTCGTTGTCCAACTCTCTGATGCATAACAAGCGATTGCAAAAACCATGGCCTGTATCAGGCAGACCTTAGTCTCCAGAGAGACTCCGTTGCTCTTGAGTACTTTAGAGAGGTGTATAAAAATTTAAAATTTTACAACCACAACCAATTGAAGAATGCCTGCTCTAGGCATTTTGCCCTGTTCCTGAAAGTACTATAAAACTCTTTTAGGACTGGAAAGCTCTTTTTGAGGGGTACTCTGTAGGTCAGCAAACTTAGGGGAATACCCAAAGGTGCTCACTTCACCAGTAATCTCTCTGTCCCTGACATTTGGCTTCCTCATCCTGCGGGTACAGCCTCCCACTCTGTCTTACACACTGGCCTCTTTGGTGCTGCTGCTGGTACTGAAGCTGTGAAAGCGCTCCATGCGGGGAGCCTGTGCCCTGAGGACACTGCACTGTTGGATCTTCTTTCTTGGTAGCAAAGAGAGAGCTCCCTCATTTTAAGCCTTTAAGCCAAAACTG